CGTACAGGCGGTCGGACAGACTGAAAACAGATAAACAAACATCGCAGGCACACAGAGATAGACGCGGAGGACAGGCAGACAGACAGATAGACAAGATGGACTGGCTGACAGAAAGGCGGACAGACAGACAGACACGGCGGACAGACAAACAGACATGCACGATGGACGTACAGGCGGTCGGACAGACTGAAAACAGATAAACAGACATCGCAGGCACAGAGACAGATAGACATGGAGGACAGACAGACAGATAGATACGATGGACAGACTGACATAAAAGGGGGACAGAAAGACACGGCGGGCAGACAGACAGACAAACACGGCGGGCAGACAGACAGCGAACAAACAGACAGGTACGGCGGGCACACACACGGCGTCTGACGTCACTGTAACTGAGAACAGTTATTGAGGAGTTCTTTATGAGAGGATTGCGAAAAAGGAGAAACCTATTCATTCATAAAAGTATGAAACTACAATGTATAACTACACAGTGAATGTCTTATCAAATACTTTGGGCCAAGGTACTTGTGTAAATCGTTAAGCTACAGTGTAACATTAGTTACGTTGTCCACAACACGCACTTCAAGCGGGCCAGTGATATATTGATTATGTCAATCTTACTTGCAAGAACTCATTCCAGTATGACTCATGTATTCTCGTTTCTCAACAACTTTTGTAACGGGTGTGGCCGTCACTGTACCAGGAAGAACTCAAGTTTTGGAGATATATTTATCCATACACCTTTGTCTGATTGCCCTTGACGTCGGTTAATGTGTTATAACATGTAGGCTGTCGCTAAGCTAACACGTTAATTGCAAGAAAGGAGAAAGGAAGTAGTCCGGAATAATGATTGTAGCAATAAATAATAATAATGATAAATAATATACAATCCTATACTCAAACAAACCACAGGAACATGCTCAAAGTGCTGCACTCTTACTATCCCAGACATTGGATCAGACGTCATCTCGTTATGAACTCCCTGGGGAGTACACAACCAAAGCTGCCTGTTGTTTAAAGGAGTAACATTAGCAACTCAGGTACCAAGTCACTACGGGGAAAGCAGGGACATATATTTACTTGCCGAGTTCCCACATACAGATTATCAACTCTGCCTTAAATATAAACCCCGCTGTTGTCATGATTGCGTGCCACCAAGCTGAACGGTTGTCTCCCAAAACCCCAACATCCCATAACCCCGACAGCCCAGTACCCCTACAATTAGTTAAAACAACACATTTACCTGTCTGGCATAATGAACTGACCCAAAGGAGAGCTTACAGGGTGGAGCATACAGTGAGATTAAGCTGCAGAGAATACAGATGAGATGGGATTAAGATTATGCTGTTGTTATTTGGGTTTTAATAATTAATTTTAAATAATTGAGATGAATTAAATGTTGAATTAGGTTTTTTTGGCTTCCTGATGTACATAGTGAGTAGACAAATTTTGCAAATCATAATAATATCAGTTGTAATAGTGTTGGAGATAGTAAAGTGAGATAAATAATTTTATATGATTTTGGGTGGTATATACGAGGGGCGTTCAAAACGCAGTCAGCCTAACTATATTCGCGATGTCCGATGTTTGAAAAGCTTCCATATTATTTTGAAGAAATTAATAGCAAAACCATATCCAAAATTTCACATATCACAACCCATTAGGGTATAGTATTTATTTTTTTTAAAATGGAAAAAGTGAAAAACGATCTGTCATTTGGTACCTCTTGGATAATGGTATGCCCTCAGATAATATCATATAAGATATGTTCTGTATATAGTCTGTTTGCAGTGAAAACGTACCGATGAATTTCACTTTAAACAAAAAAGTAAATCGAATAAAGTGAAAATAAGATTGCGAATCCTCATAATTTTACCTTGCCAATTGAACATTTAAATCTCAGAATTTTATTCAACTTAGGATAAAAAATGTTTAACAAACGATCATGATTTCAAACCTCTATTATTGGTTTGTATTACAAGGGGGTATGCACATTAAATGAAACACCGAGAACAAGTATGGTTGGTCTAAGTTCACGCTCATCCCGTACCGCACGTGCATTTGTTTCACTGTTCCAACAATTACGTTTACCCCCTTGTAATACAAACCAATAATAGCGATTTGAAACTATGATCGTTTGTTAAACAACTTTTATCCTAAGATGAATAAAATTCATCGGTACGTTTTCACTGCAAACACACTATAGTATTGGATGACTACCCGTCATAATCAACATTCAAAGATTTGCATTGTTTGATTTACATTTAGGGGGGGGGGGCTGTTTTTCAAGGACACCCCGATTTTAATCTTTCAAAAACTGTGTCCAGATATTCAAGCTGGTACTGTTTACAATGTATTGAGAGCTGACATTTGTGTGACCATTCAGTATTTAGTGTAAACTGTCACAATACCTGTTTAAACTCAGAAATGACCTCTATCTGGGCTGTATGTATATACCGCCCGAGAACAGTAGATACTCGTCGATAGAACACTTCAGTCAGCTCGAAGATGATATTATCAACTACTCGAACTATTCACAGTATTTATGTGTTACAGGTGATTTTAATGGAAGAACCAAATCCCTTTCAGACTATGTCATAATAGACGATTTTCTATGTGAAAATGACCAGAATGACGGTGAATGCCTTTACTCCAATGTTGAGGTGCTTGAGAAGACTACTACTACTACTACTATTACTACTACTATTACTACGACCGCTGCCGCAGCCGCTGTCTGTGCTGGTGCTAGTGCTAGTGCTGTTTCTGTCGCTGCTGCAAACACACCCGTTATGATTCTGGGTAGAATTGGTTTCCAGCAACCCATGCTTGTTGTAGGTGGCTTGACTGATCGTATTCCTGACAGACAGACAGATATGATGGGCAGATAGACAGACAGATATGGTGGGCAGACAGACAGACAGATATGATGGGCACACAGACAGACAGATATGATGGGCAGATAGACAGACAGATTTGATGGGAAGACAGACAGACAGGCACGGTGGGCAGACAGACAGACAGATATGGTGGGCAGACAGACAGACTGATATGATGGGCAGACATACAGACAGATATGGTGGGCAGACAGACAGACAGGCACGGTGGGCAGACAAACAGACAGATATGGTGGACAGACTGGCACGGTGGGCACACAGACAGACAGATACGGTGGGCAGACAGACAGACAGGCACGGTGGGCACACAGACAGACATATATGGTGGGCAGACAAACAGACAGGCACGATGGGCACACATACAGACAGATATGGTGGGCAGACAGGCACGACGGGCACACAGACAGACAGATATGGTGGGCAGACAGACAGACAGGCACGGTGGGCACACAGACAGACAGATATGGTGGGCAGACAGACAGGGACGCTGGGCAGACAGACAGGGACGGCGAACACACAGACAGGCGACAGGGACGGAGACAGACAGACAGACAGGCACGGTGGGCACACACACAGACAAGCACGTAGGACAGACAGACATGGACGGTGGGCACACAGACAGACAGATATGGTGGGCAGACCGACAGACAGGGACGCTGGGCAGACAGACAGGGACGGCGAACAAAAGGAAGACAGGGACGGGGAGCACACAGAGAGGCAGACAGGGAAGGAGGACAGACAGACAGGCACGGTGGGCACACGGACAGGCATGTTGGGCACGTAGACAGACAAGCACGGTGGGCATGGGGGACAGACAGACAGACAGGCACGGTGGCCACACAGACAGGCAGAAAGACAGATAGGCGCGGTGGGCACACAGACAGACAGGCACAGTGGGCACACAGACAGGCACGGAGGACAGACAGACAGGCACGGTGGACACACAGACAGGCATGTTGGGCACACAGACAGACAGGCACGGTTGGCATACAGACATTTAGAGAGGCACGGTGGGCAAAAAGACAGGCACGGTGGACACACAGACAGGCATGTTGGGCACACAGACAGACATGTTGGGCACACAGACAGACAGGCACGGTGGACACAAACAGACAGGCACGGTGGGCACACAGACAGGCACAGTGGACAGACAGACAGGCACGGAGGACAGACAGACAGGCACGGTGGGGACACAGACAGACAGACACGGAGGACAGACAGACAGGCACGGTGGACACACAGACAGGCATGTTGGGCACACAGACAGACAGACATGTTGGGCACACAGACAGACAGGCACGGTGGGCACACAGACATACAGGCACGGTGGGCACACAGACATTTAGAGAGGCGCGGTGGGCAAAAAGACAGGCGGACAGGGACAGACAGACAAGCACGCAAGCACGCATACGGTTCTGACGTCATTGTAGTTGAGAACAGTTCTTGAGAACTTAATTCATTATAACGGGTCGCAATAAGGTGAAACATATATTTTATAATGTTAAGTAACTGTAATTGCTCAGTGAATGTCGCATAGATTAATTTGGGCCAACATACCTGTCGCGAGTGTAATCTACAATACAACCTCCACACTATAAGTAGGTCAGTGATGTATTCCTGATGACTCACTGCAGAACTTTTGTGTTGCTTTGTAAGGGACATTGTCGTGTTGCCACAATGAGGCAAACTTAACGAAAGCGCGACAACGCCACAATGTCCGTTCCTGGTTTATCATACGTTATTTTTGGAAAACTAACTTACACTCAAGTGTAACAGTGTGTCTATATGGGAACAGGAGTAGACCCCGCCATGGGATTCCTTTTACAAGCCTGTTACCTGTATGTACTGCTTTTCCACAGTGTTATCAGGTAGGTACTTAGTTCTCCTACTTCTATTGCCTCTTAAAGAAGTCTTCATGCAGACATTGTATACAACCTACCACTGGAAGCATAAAAGCATGTCTACATCTGTGATATTGCGACAACTTGTAACGTAGTTAGAGAACATGCGTTCTTCTCCACTTAGTCCACTATTGCTTGTTAAGAAACAAACTTGCTTTCCCTTCAGGTAATCCAGTTATCTTTTAATCCTTATACCTGTTTTCATCATTAGACCACGTGTCCCCTGGAACAATGAAAGGCGGACAGATCCTGTCGCTTGTGGTGCTGATCTCTGCCCTGCTTGCTGTGACACACTCTCTTGGTAAATACACGTATATAATGATACAATGGAATTGTATTCACCATGGTTATTGCATTACAAATGAAACGAAACTGAAATTTGTGGAAGTTAAATTTGTCATATTCATATGGTTTCCTAAATACAATACGGGTTATTTTTTCTGACACTTCTAATTTATTACATTTTAAACATACAACATAATTGTTTTCAGAGCACCCAAGTCACGACTCATGTAACACAAGTGGGTGTAGACATGGGAATGGTCGTCTTCGATGTCAGTCATGTAAGATCGGGTGTCACGGATCAAACTGCAGCTCTACATGCCAAGGACGTTGTGACGGAGACGGATGTGACAGGTCCACTGGAGAATGTTTCAGATGTAGACCAGGGTTCTATGGACGACACTGCGACACACCCTGTCCACCACGATGTTCCAGCAGTCCGGTAGGTGGCGCTGTCTACTGTCACCGCCATACAGGTGCTTGTTCTGAATCTTGTGGTGGAGGATGGACCGGGCCACACTGTGATGGACGATGTCCACCCAACTGCAAGGCATCAATCTGTCACATACACACAGGAGAATGTCTTGATGGGTGTGATGGAAGATGGACAGGGAACTTCTGTAACATGACATGTGACAACTGTCTGATGGGAAGGTGCAGCATCACGGGGTACTGTCTACATGGATGTGAAGCAGGCTTCTATGGACAGAAGTGCAAAGACAGATGTCAACATTGCTGGACCAGTGGCTGTGACAGACAGACTGGGATATGTGAAGCGTGTCAACCTGGTTACCATGGACACCGCTGCAGTAGCACGTGCCCCGAGAAGTGCTACAAAGGAAGAGATGGACACAAGCACTGTGATCGACATACTGCAGTTTGTCTAGAAGGATGTGAGACTGGGTGGCACGGGTCACACTGTAACAGCCCGTGTAGTACCTCCTGCAAGTCCTCCCTGTGTTACAGCCATGATGGATCGTGCGTGGAGGGCTGTGTTCCAGGGTACTATGGGAAACACTGCCACAAGAAATGTCTCCATTGTAGAGACAATGTGTGTGACCGCCATGGACGGTGTTCAGCCTGTACTGATGGATGGTTCGGAGAGAGATGTGACGAGGCTTGTGGGTGGTGTCTGGATGGTGTATGTGAGGTGAACGGTAGCTGTAGTCGTGGGTGTAAGGACGGGGCGTACGGGAGTCACTGTCAGCACACATGCAGTGGGGGCTGTGTAGCGTGTGATCAGAGGACAGGCGACTGTAATGACGTAGGGTCTGTTGATGCTGTGATCGAACTTGATACGATTGCAAGTACATGCTCCTTAATGCATTCAAAGTATCAAAACGTAATGCCCATTGCGTTTGTACTTGCTTGCTTATCTAATTATTTAGATATATAGGTAGATGCCGGGATACGTAGGTAGGTAGGTTATCAAAATTGTAATAACTGCATTGTCCAGGTGATATAACTGCACTACGTTACTATGTGTTCAGCTAATATAACTGTACTATGTGTTAAGATGATATAGCTGCACCATGTGTTGAGTTGATATAGCTGTACCGTATGTTGAGCTGATATAACTGTACCATGTGTTGAGCTGATATAACTGTACCATGTGTTCAGCTAATATAACTGTACTATGTGTTAAGATGATATAGCTGTACCATGTGTTGAGTTGATATAGCTGTACCATGTGTTGAGCTGATATAACTGTACCATGTGTTCAGCTGATATAACTGTACCTTGTGTTCAGCTGATATAACTGCACTATGAGTTCAGCTGATATAGTTTTATTTTGGTCTGCTGATCAACTGTAATTTGTACAAACCATGAAGAAATGGATTTTTTAGAAAACTCATTTCGTAAAATGAGTGTAGCAGGAGAATTTTCTAAAAAATCAATTTCTTCACCGATTTCGTTTAAATTTGAAATATAAGTTAATCATAGCATATAAAAACAATATACGGTTGCAAAAATCTAGATTTTTATTTTTTAAAATGATTGTCCAAAGAGTGATTCGAACCCCTGTGTTTGAACCCTTGCGATACACCGCCAGCACCTGCTCATGATCGTACCGCTCTTAGTCTTTGTATTCCCCATCGATATGATACGATGTATCAGAGTGCATATATTGTCTCTGTTAAATTGTCTCTGATAAATATACATCTGAGAAGAGAGGTATGAAATGGCTTCCACAAAATACATATTTATGAAAGAATTCTATGAAAAAATTCTTTCATAAATATGTATTTTGTGGAAGCCAATGTTGATGTACCTAGCTAACCCATAATGTAGCTACATGTTTTGGGGGGTTTTGGGGGTTTATTTTGTGTGGTTTTTTTGCTTAGAACTGGAGAATGTCAATATGTACATAGTTTTGCTAGAGCGGATCCTTTCTGACCATCTGTACAGTTGATGTTTGATTTGTGTAATACACAGCTGGATAAGGCTCTATATGCGCCTCAGCTTTAAAACACCATTAGCTTTGTAACATGTATAGACAGTTAAACCATGACATGTCCATTGACTGATTGTTCATTGTGCTATTTGATAAATGTATATTGAATTCTTTAATATGTTATGATTACAATATTGTGTTTGTGTTCATGAAATAAAGATATTGACTTTCATCTTTGGTTGTGTTATTACTGGGTGTGTTTCTACATCTCAAGGTTATAATAATAACTGTAGCTTGTGTATGACGATTGAATCATGTTGAGAAAGAAGAAACCAACCATATATAATACTATTTACACACTTTATTACATATATACATTAATACACTTTGACCATGAGACATATACATTGATATATTGGATACAGTTTTAATTCATATGTGTATTCTTATTAGACACAGGACACATCCATATATGATACAAAGAATGTGGAGTTTACAGTTCATCATGATCTGTATCATCATGCTCAGACATGTCAACAAGTTTTAAATCTTCAGCCTGGCTCAAGTCCACATCAGAGAGAATATCTTTCACGACAGGTTTCATCCACTGAGTGATTTTAGCATCCATTTCTTTGGGGTCCATGTCAGGGTCCAGGGCTGTGATTTTCTCTAATATAGGCTTGAAGAGGGGTCCATATCCAAAATAGCTGGCATAACGAACGGCTATCGCAAGTCTATCAAGAAAAGTAGTTTGCCAGCATTTTTGTAGTTGTTTCTCAACCCATCGTTCATTCTTTCCTTTATCCTCAAAGTCCTCCTTTTTCTTCCAGATGTTCTCCTTACAAGCTTTCAAAGTCTGTCCCCACATGTATTCTAACCCTTTCACTTCTCTCTTTCTTGATCAACATTCTTAGTATCATCAGCTGCATCCAGTTTTACTCGCTTCTGTAGAGGCTCGCCATCATTCTCAGGACACCAGGTTCTAACATGACGTTGAAGGGCATGATTGTTTTCAAATACAATACCACACTCGTCACAGGAAGGCATGTTTTAGTCTTCTGAGTAAAGCGTTCGCCACTATCTCAGAGATGTTCACCCTTTGAGCGTCAGGAGTCAAATGACGCAGTGGCTCAAGTTGCTCCTCTTTTATAGACTGGATCCCAGTTTTGCTTTGTCTTGATTCTGGTGCGGGATATGGTATATCTCCTTTTGGTATTTCTGGGACTGAGGGTATGTCAGCTTTTGTGACTACATTAGGTGTAGTCTATCTGATTCAAGACTGGTGGGTCGTAGGTCGATAGTCAGATTGCCATGGGGCTTTTGAACAGCTGTCTCATACACTGACATAAACCTATCATCAGTGTTGGGGAAGATACGTCTGGCAAACAATTGGACTTGTAGCCTATACACAGGAGAGTTAAATAGAGTCACATGGTGGGGAATTCAGAGCGATGTCATGTGACTCCTTCCCCCGCGGAAATAAATTTTGTAGCAGCAGAAAGACAATAACATTTTTTGGGACGAGAAGTTCGCGTAAATAACTGACTGACACGTTTATCATCCTTAGCTTCACACATCATGTCATCCAACACCATCATGTTGTTATTTCAAGCATCCAAGTAGGTATCGTCAAGTACATTGTAAGGAATTCCTTTCACAAACTTCACATGGGGCAACTGTTCACTGATCACCTGGTACAGGGGCTGCCATTGGGTATAGCACCAGATAATGTGATTAGGTGCTGGCTGTATACATCCCTTCATGAGAAGGTTACATATAAACATAGATTTACCACTGCCAGTAGGGCCCACAACAACTGCATTAGAGGGGATGGTAAACTTGAAATGTTCTTTATCATTGAATTGATTGTGGTTTCGCTGTTGCTTATACATTGAGTTATGCGGCGGCGACGGTAATTGTGTCTGCGGCAGTGGTAATTGCGTCTGCGTCTGCGGCGGTTATTGTGTCTGCGGCGGCGGGGGGTAATTGCGTCCGCGGCGTGGCGGCGGTGGATTTTCATAATCATTTATGTGCTTATGTCTCCTGTGTCTCAGCATAACACCCTTCCTTGAAAACCGTCTCTGACAATCTGGACATGTTGCTTCCATGGTGGTTCTGTATCCAATGAGAAGTGCATCACATCTATCCTTATTTATACACCCTGGAGGTCCTGCTCTGGGATCCAGCTGTTGAATTTCTTAGGATAACCCATCCATTTAACATACACCTCTTTTTCTACAAGCTCTCTTCCTCTTCTTCAAGACTTTCTCAACGCGCCACATGGTGTCTGCAGACTTATAGGCTTTCTGAAGTTCATTCGAATAAAAAGTACCTGTGATTGGATCCTCAGCCATGTCCTTGACTTTATAGACTGGTATCCCATCCCTGTAGTATCGTCTGCTAACAATAAAGATTTCCTCCGTCCATTTCTCCTGATAGTCACGTTGAAAGACATGTCTCAAATGTGACAGTCGCACCTGATCCCCTACTTTGAATTTAAAGGCTTTCCGTCTTCTTTCATTCATCTTCTCTGCTTTGGGTTTGACTTGTTTGTGCAGTGGATCAATGTACTGTTCATTTCAAACAACAGATTCATTGTTTGTGTTGATATCAATGGGTGAACGTTCATTCAGCGACCTATGAGGTCTCTGGTTATAATCTTTCACCAAGTCTTGCAAAACATCAATATAATGGTATGATTGTTTGTAAGTAAAGTATCTGTACATAGTCGCCTTAAGGGTTCGTATGACTCTCTCGGCATAAGAAGCTTTGGTTTCATTCTGAGTGACATAGTAGGTAATACCCTTGTTGGCTAAATATGATCTCATTTTCTTGTTATCAAATTCACGACCTTTGTCGGATCTGATAATCTGTGTAAGAGTAGCACGAGCAAATATGTTCTTTATGGCCTTAAGGACTGTGTCTTGTGTTTTATTATTAAGGGGTTCCACCCATAGAAATCGTGTGAATACATTGATAGCTTTCAATAAGTATTTTACACGGTCATTGTCAGAGGCTATATTGGAAACAGCAGCCAAGTCTATATCCCACCGATCGTTCAAACAAGTTGAGATCACTCTGTTCCACTTGAACTTGTACCTAAGAGGTCGCTGAAGTGAATAGGCATCTTGAGAACCGAGCCACTTTTTGATGTGATGTAAGCTGATATTAATTTTCCCTTCCTTTTTCAGCATGTGATATAACTTAGTTGAACCCGAGAAGGAAGCTGGGTGTTTGGGATTTAAGTAAATGCTGGACAAATACTCTTTCCATCCTTCAGCGGGCATGGTGAGAAGACAAAGGGGAGGGGAATGACAACCATTATTGGCATGAGTATATATAGGGACTCTTGACTTCTGATGTAAATACGAAACTACGTTTGAATAATGTACTTGCATCTTATATGTTACTAAGCTTCTAATATCGTATATAAGCATGCTATTCGCACCCGTGTGGCCATGTTGTATAATAACATGTATACGCGTATTCCTAAGGCTATGAAAACAGACATGCATGAACAAAAAAATATATATATGTATATAGGTATCATATCTTAGATGACAGGCAAAGAGACATGCATTGAGCCATGCATAAGCCATGTGTGTTCTGTGCTGACTTATAGATTAGGGATATTGTGGTACCATGTTTGTTTTTTACCAACAAATACTTAAAAGACAGGTCCACACATATTTCATGGAACAATATATACTGAGCATTGATGTATGTTATAAACATTACAACATGTACCTAAAGTAGGGGCTGCACCCTGGGTGTGTGATATGATATGTTATGTCTATTGTTGACCGATTGTTTCAGCGTTTTATGTTTAGGGAGGAAATTGTATCCTGGTGCATTCTCCCAGAATAGTAAATATGCCATCACTTCACACCCTGTAGCCTTGTAGTTTTCATTACTGAAGATCACCAAATCCCATGCTACTGCACTGAAATCTCCCGTGTTGATCGGGGATAGAAGTGGCCTAAGCAACCCAAGCTGTAAGAGGCGACTTACCGGACAGGGTGGTC